TTTTGTGTAGGGGGGGTCACTGTCAGGGAGAAGTGTGAGCTAAATGCAACCTCCCCTGTGAGTTCAGTGTTCTGTATGTGCCTTTCTGCTGGTGTGTTCAAAAAAAGAGCACTTTTTGCAGCAGATCATGGCCATCCCTGTGTCTTACTCTCTGTTGACGTCACCGTAAAAATAATAAGTAAGAGATAAGAGTAAGAAAAGGAGAAGATGAAAATCCCCAGATTTTAGAAAACGTTACGTTGCACGATGTTGTATTGTTAGAGTTTAAGGTGGTCTGTACTGCATCATGTAACCTCTGGTCTGAAAACAAGTTCAACTCCAGTCCTGCCAAAGTCTACAGCTGATTCTAAATGTGGTATTTGTGTATGGCCACTTTCTATTGTGCCTCAATATTAGAACCAAAAAATGTGAATGGCAGTAAAGCATGGCATTATAGGCTACAAAAACTGTGGTAAAAAGAAAAGATATGCTAGTGGAGTTAGCAGTAGCAAATGGCCTGACTGATCACATGCAACCATAGTAGTGGATAACCAAGGAATACTTTCAAAAATAAAGAAAAATGTTTGAACACATTAAGAACAGTATGGTGGATGTAGATGTGTTCAAGACTAACTTATTTAAAGAATACATTATCCTGACAAAAAGTATGTGGACAACTGAACATCACATCGATCTGTGCTTGTTGGACATCCCCTACCAAAATCATGAGCATTAACATGGAGTTGGTCCCCCCTTTGTGGGTATAACAGCATACACTTTTCTGGAAATGCTTTCCACAACATTTTGGAATGTGTCTGCGGAAATTTGTGCCCATTCAGTCAAGAGAAGGCCTGGTTTGCGACCACTGTTTCCAATTCACACCAAATTTGTCAAACTATGTCCTCAAGGACCTTGCTTTGTGCACAGGTGGCACAGTCATGCTGGAAGCATATAACTGTCTAAAATGTCCTTGTTTGCTTTAGCATTAACATTACCCCTCACTGGAACTAAGGGGGCCTAGCCCAAACCTTGAAAAACAGTTTCAGACCATTAACCCTCCTCCAAGAAACTTTACTGTTGGGACTATGCATTCTTGTAGCTAGCATTCTCTTGGCATATCCCAAACCCAGATTTGTCCATTAGACTGCCATTGAAGTGTTGTTAATAGAACACATTTCCACTGCTCCAGAGTCCATAGGCAGCATGCTTTACATCACTCCAGCCAGCGAATGGCATGGCACATAGTGATCCTTGGCTTGTGTGCAGCTGCTTGGCCATGGAAACCCATTTAATGAAGCTCTCGACTGACGGTTCCTGGTTGATATTGCTTCCAAAGGAAGCATAGGTACTTTTTTAAACACTACGCACTTCAGCATTTGGTGAGTTTGCGTGATCTACTGCTTCATGGTTGAGTTGTTGTTGCACCTAGATTTCACAATAATAGCACAACTGACTGGTGGCAAATCTAGCAGAACAGATATTGCACAACTCACTCTTGGCAAAGGTAGCATCCTATGACAGCGCCACGTTTAAAGTCACTGAGCTCTTCAGTACAATCCATTCTACTGCTAATATTTGTCTATTGCATGGCAATGTGATTGATTTTATATACCTATTAGCAATGGGTTTGGCTTAAACACCTGAATTCAATAATTAGCAGGGCTGTCCACATTCTTTTGGCCATATAGTGTACCTCTGTCTCTGACCTCAGGATGCAAACCAGTACAGAAAGGACAGGTTTCAATTTGCTAGAACAGGACAGGTGAATTCAGAATTAACCTCTACCCCTGCTGATCCAAAGCATGAAACCTCATCCAAACTTGCAGGCAGGGGCATGTATGCTTGCCACTGGAGCTGCTTCACTTGTCTTCATTGATGACATGACAGCCAACAACAACAGCAGAACTCTACAGAAGCATTCTTACTGTGGTGATCCAACCAAATGCCTCAAAACTTTGATGGTCTGTCACCTTGCAGAAGGGAAAGAAGTGCTTACACATACAGTCAAAGGACCAAAATGGGACTATCCTTGACTGTCACGTGATCTGAACCCCAATCAGTTCACTTACTCGATGAGACTGAAAGCAAAAAGGTCCCTAAAACAATTTAAAACTGAAAATATTGGCATGAGAGACAAGGTGGAGCAGCAAATTTGATTTTATCTATGGGTTCATGCAATCATTGACTGCAAATAGTTTGCAATCAAGCCCTAAATATGAGCAATTTATTTTGGATTACATGATTTGTCCACTTGCAACTATGTATAAAAATCGACTGTGATTCCTAAATGGTCCACCAAATATAGATGCAAATGCCTTTAAAGTATAGCAAGCAGTTAAACATGGTTTCATTTCAAATCCAAGGGGCTGGACTAAAGAGCCAAAGCAACCAAATTTGTCACTCACAGTTACAGAAAGCATTAGATAGAAGTTTTATTATTCAAGTCTTCAAGCAATTTAACTACAAAATGATAGATGATCCCCAGATGATATTAGGTTTTAAGAGTGTATATGGTTACATTTTTTATGTAGGTAATGCTATATCAGACAATACAGACATGGTGATGGATCTTTAGTGCAAGCCACTTGATGTCCAAATAGAAAAAATATTGATACCTCTGTTAAATCAGAAGCATTGACAGAAAAAGAAATACCCAAGAAGTACCCAGAATCTCTTGATAAGACAAGAGTCTTACCATAGCTTTATCTAGTTCAATAAATACAAGTGTAGACCTCAAGAACAAATAATGCAGCTGTTTCTGGAAGTAGGTAAACAACAAACACAAATGTTAACGATTGTTGAAAAAACATGAAAAAATGATTCATTTCACTACTGAAGAACTCTGAAGCAGCGAGACCTTACAAGTATGTTCTCAGGGAAGCTGTAAGAACCAGAGATTTGTATCCGATTCTTGCTGCTACAGGGAGCTAGTTAAGTGATTTAAGTAGAGGAGTCACTTGAGAGAACTTCAGGAGGTTATGGTCCAGACAAGCTTTGTAGAAGAGAAACTGCAGGAGAAAGGAAGGCCTGCAAGGAGAACACTACAGTAATCAAATCTGGAAAAGTCTTGAACAAGAAGCTGACCAGCCTTTGCGGTCAGGAATTGTCATATTGATGTTATGAAGTAGGTCCTGGTCCTGAAGATCTACTTTCCTGCAATCTAGTTCTAACTACCTTTTGCCACAGCTGCTTCAGCTAATTAGCTTCTTTATAAGTCCTTGGCTGGATCAGATACGTTAGTGCTAGGTAAGGGGGAAGGCAGCATGTAAGAGGCACGTTGGGACGGAACTCCAGAAGGAGCGGTGGTGGCCACCGTCGTATGTGACGAATGGATGGAGCAAGAGTCAATTGTGATGGAGAGCTACGGTGTTACAGCATGCTTAGCAAGCAGGTAGATTAGTTCCATCTTCCTCAAAAATCAGTTCTAAATGATGGGTCTATATCCAGAAAGAGAAATCAGAAAGGCAGCCAGATATGTCTGGTGAAATGTGGGAGGCAGAACACTAGCCGTCACAGAGCAAAACAGAGGCCACATGAGCTTAACACTGAATTGGAAAGATGTGGACCTAGAACTGACCCCTGGCCCCAGGACACTCTGGTATTAGGATGTCGGGACCTGAGACAGAACCTTTCCAGGGTAATTGGTAGGATCAGTCTCCAATATAACAGCAATGCTGTTGATACCCACGTCAGAAAGTGTTAAAATAAGTACCAGTGGTTCACATTGTCAAAGGCAGCCAACAGGACAAGGAGAATGATGACTAAGGATATAGAGCTCCTTATGGCTGTAAGAAAAGCTTCAGTAATTGACAGGAGGGCAGTTTCTGTTGAAGTGTACATTCAGCTTGGTTTGCATTTTAGATATCTGCATGTCTCACATGATCAGTACGGTGTGGATTATGATTTTGTCTTTCCCTGATTTACAACTGAAGTCTGTCTAGAATGCATTTTGTGGATAGAAACTTTTGCTGACTCAGTTTGGCCTAGAGCGTACTCTGTCAGCAGTATAAAAGTGTACTTTTCCATCATTAACTAATAAGCCAATAAAAATTTATATACTCTGGTCAAAAACTTTATCTTGCAGGAAAAACTGGGCCTCGAGATACTAACACCATCGCCAAAAGGCTCTTCAGAGAAGTGTTTTTTACAAATTAAGATGAAATGTTTATTCTCGCCTCTTTTTTAGAACAGCACTTTCTTCAATGAAAAGTTTGTGTTCATGTTGTAGCAAGAAAGCTTGCATACCAAAAGAAGTAATTTCAGGAAAGGTAACCCGTCCAGGTTTTTAATTTTGATCAGCCACTACAGCCTAGAGCAGTGGTCACCAACTCTGCTCCTGGAGAGCTACCTCCCTGCAGACCTTAGCTCCAATCTTCATCAACCCCACATGACCTAAATATTTCCTCGAGAAGTCCTTGATTAGCTGAATGAGGTGTGTTAGCTTCAGGTTAAAGGTGAAACGTGTAGATCTCCACTGGCCTAGAGGCTATAAAAGGGCTCTATATAAAATCATTCAGTTTCACATATGGAGACATTAGGCTATGACACTGGACCTAATGTACATAATGTGGAGAACTACTAGCTAACAGCATCAAAACAAACTGGAAAAGGCATCCAGCAACATTACTTTGGTAGATAGCAGTGAATGTGTGCTGCTCAGAATAATAAAGCAGTTCTTCATGGGAACATTACTAAACACCAGATGGTGCTACTGAGCATTCGTGCTGTACATAACATTCATCTACATTCCAAAGAGTCTCCATTAGCATCAGTAGAGATTGCTTCCATGTTAGAAATGTTATTTTCTGTCACTTGAACACAACCATAATCAGTACAATTAAGGTAGATACACAAGCATAATCATACACATACACAATAGCAATTCCTTTGTGTCATTGGCTTCTAAAGCCACTGAGACATTCAGTAATGCCTGGGGCTCCAACTGACGAGATCATGCAATCGGAGGGCACACCAGGAATAAGCAAGAACACAAATTTTACGAAAAAATAACCAACATTAACTTGTCTTGTCACAGTTAAGATTTATTCATTCAACATTTCACATTACAAATATTTAAAAATTATGCATATTGTTATAAATAGTTGGCTGCAAACAATTAAATAACATTAGATTTTTCTTTTTGTTTCACTAGCACTTACAGACCAACTCCTAGAATATGGACATTTGTATAACATAACTTAATTAGAAAGAAAAATACAAAAATAGGAACTTATAAAGTGAAATGACAATAAAAATTAAGGTGATATCTTAAGTAAAAAAATGCTATTAATAAATACAACAACCTTCCCATACACAGTTAAAAACTATTGAAATTTTGCCATTAAGTAACATCATTAACAGACAGATATTTAAATATTTATTTTCCTTCAGAAAATGTGAACCATATATTGTGGAGCACAATATAGCAATTAGTAAAAACTAGACACTTTAACATATTAAAAGCTTCACCTCAAAAATATAACAAAAATCTGATCAAAATTATAAAAATTAATTATACATTCCAATTAAAAATATACCAATAAACAGCTAAATACATTGTTGACCTAATAATTACAATGCAATCAATCACAGTAGCTTGAAATAAACAAAATAAGCAAATGAGCACAAAACCTTTAATGTTTTAAAAATAACTTCAATTATTTATATTAGTACAAATAGTCTGATTTCTTTTCTTTTTTACAAACACCAGCATGAAAAGGATTACAATAACAGTAGAAAATGACTGTGAAAAACATATTAACATCTTCTTTAAATGTCAGCAATTAAAAATGGCATTAAAGAATTACATTGCAAAGAGTCTTTATCTGGAAAAAGTTCAAAAAAAGTATTGCACATAACAACTCGAAGTTAACTTGCAACATTTACCACATTCAAGTCTTAAAGTTCCCCTTCCTCCAAATAGTTTGTGATTTTACTTCAAACAGACAGTAGGGATGAAGTTCTCAAGTCTTTTCAACAGCGTCCAATAAGATGCTCTCGTCCTGCACTGCTAATTGGATTTTTAGAGTTCTCTCTTCGCTTTAATGTTTGCTTTATCTGTGCATCCTGAAGATACTGGATAATGGGGAAGGCATAGAGAATAACATACAGGAGGGTGCAGGGTGTGGGGTGTCCTTAACAAATTAAATGTTTAGAAACATCTGGTGCACAACCACAACAATTAATTTTAATAGCTAATTCATGTACTTATTTTTTTTTTCTCATCATGCATGCTAAGGATTACAATAGGAGCTAGTTGGCAGTTCAAGAATATATATTTTCAAATGTTAAAATATCTAAACATCAAACATCCATTCTTGTGATACGAGAGTCAGCCTAAACATGAACCAAATTTTGCATTCTCCTTATATTATAGTTTATATTCCAGCTATGGAGAGGAAACTAAAATGACAAGTTTACCTTTTTTTCCAACTAGGATAACCATTTTTAATATTAACATTAATTTAATGACAACTTGTTCTTGCCATGCTGTTGTTTAGGTTTTTTTTAACCCATATATATGTGTGTGTGTGTCATTAAAATCTAGTGTACAAGATCCAAGACCTTAAGCGGTATACTTTGATCTTTCCTCTGCAGATTTGAAGTCGCATCAACGCAAGTGTGCGCTTAGTTGTAAAGATTCCTCAGCACTGAAATGTATAAAAAGCATAATTGAAAATAATATATATTAAAATCACTCAACTTTTTTTTCTCTTAAATGAAAATTTCCATATATGCAGATCTCTCAGTAACAAAAGTACAAAAGCTACCTTTCACAATGTGAAAAATTGAGGTATTGCAAAAAGGAGTTTTCCCATTTGTGAAAAATGTGCCTAAAATGACTGTTGAAAAAAAAAAAAAGTATTTAGAAAAGTAGTGCATAATAAATGTTTATATGTGCATGACAAAATAATTTAGCTAGAAAACACTGTACCAAAAATCAGCAGGCCATGTATAAAATAATCTTTATCTCATCTCATTAACAGCAAATTCTTCAAAAAGTGTTTAACTTCTAAAATGTTCAACCACCACACCCACAAGCCTAAGTGATGGTGCAGAATGGGTGCACTAGAACACCATCAAGCCAACACGAGGATAAGTTTCTCACTAGTGTATCAAGTTATAATTCTTCACTATCTCCCTGACGTTTACGCTAGCAGAATCAGATAATGAAAGCTTGTAATCGTCAACCAAATCGGATGCTATGTTCATAGCTTTACGTTTCACCTCCCAAAATCTGACGGCTAGCATAAATTTCCTCAAGACGATACCCGACTGCTGAACAACATATGTCTCCTTTTTTGACCTTTGGAAAAGAAGCGGGTGGACTTGCGGAAAGGCCAGTGTACACTGGGCTCAGTGGTTTTCACTAGTGTTACTGTGGATTTTGACTGCATGCTTATCAATTCAAGGCCAATCTTTGGTTTGCTGGAGTTCATCTGGTCATAAATATTGAATGGAATGAGGTGTGTGTGTGTGTGTTGGGGTCATAGCATAAATAAACTGAACGGAAACCTGTTTGGAGGAGGGAAAAGAAAAAAGTGAGCTATGGTCTTGCTCACTACTATACAGCCATCTTTGGTTCCCTAATGTCTGAAAGTAAAACCTGTATGTTGCAGGTCAAAGTGAGAGACCTGCGTGCGTAGGGGGTGGGGTGTGAGGATTGAGGAGCGATGCGTGGACTACCTTCAGTTATGCTTCTAACTCAGGCTGAGTCGGCACAGATGCTGCAGAACAGGAGGTATTTGGTTCTGTCTTTCTTTTCTCTTAAAATCTTCAGCACTTTTTTTGCTATTATGTTTACGTCTTTTCGGGTCAAAAATGTTGTCGGCTGGGGTAAAGGCTTGGAAATCTGCACACATTGCGAGACGAAGTAAAAGTTCCTTGCTGCCGACAGCCTTAGAGAATCTAAAGCTGGTTTTGGCGCAGCTGGGCCACAAATGGATTAGGATTCCTTGCTGCTGAACCAGCCCATAGGCAAATTACTGCTCTTTTAACGCCATACATTCCCCATTTAGATGCTATGTTTCCCAACCACTGTTGAAATCAATTTGTGTATTTCTTTTGTTTTTTTTACTTAGGAAGTGACAGCGCAGATATCTTACTGTGCCTTTTGCAGATGTCATTTCCCTTTTCTGTGTTCAGCATGGAAAGGGGGGAGACCAGCTTGGTTTCTACATCTTACTCAACAAACTAGCAGCTAAGCTTGAGGTATAAGTTTCTTGCATTTCATAATAGAAATCAAACCCAGAAATCTGATGCGGCATCAATAGTTGTCAAAAAACATTAGATATTAGCATTGGTCGTAAATTGATAAAATGTTGAAATATTTGATCTATTGAGAGGATCCGCTTTTGGAAGCTTTTTTTGTTTTGTTTTGTTTTGCTTTGCTGTTCTTACAAACCAATTGTGATTAAGCTTTGGTTAAAACACTGGGGTCTTACACTGCATTTGCACTCTATTCAACAAAGAAATAAGTGCACTCTTCATCAGCAACACCTTCTCGCCATGTCTGCTCTGTAGCCTTTTGAATCAAATATAAAACAAAATGTAATACTTGTAATTCAATGTTAACAAACAGCCAATTATAGTCATACAGATAGTCATACTCAATGACAAATTATACTAATACTCAATATTTTCATATCTCTGTGCTCTAAGAAAAAGAAATCGAATGGGATTACAAAAAAAAACAAAAAAAAACAAAAAAAACAGAGATGCATTACATATTGTACTTTTTTCCTGAATATTTTTGGATACATATCCATTTTTTTAAACTTTATATTAAATGACAAATTAAAATGTGTGTTTTTAATTAAATTAAAAAGGAACCAGCAACAGAAAAGTGCATTTATTCAGACGATGATTTTGCGACTCCTAGCCTTCTCTCCCCTGTCTATCTCCCTGCCTGTCACCTTAGTTCCAGCGGAAGGAGATGTGGCGAGGTCGGTCGCCACCCTCTTTCACCAGGGGTTTGTGAAACTCTCGGCCAGCACGTGAGTGGATAGCCGCCCAGCAGTATTCACAGTAATACTGGAGACAGGTGACGTTAGCGCAGAAGAAAGGAGCGAACTTGCCTCCACACCGCGTCCCCTGACACTCATCACACAGCTGGTCGTCCAAGACGTATGGCTTCACTTCCACCTGCAGAGAGAGTGTGAGAGCTCAAACTGGGCATCTAATATGGATGCAGCTGATGGAATGTTATTTAATATCACAAACACAACCCAATAAATAAAGGTCATTGTCTTGGTCATTGTTTGCTCTTGTAGCTCACACCATTTGTTTGATTTGCAGCCTAACACAAAACCCAAAGTGATTAAACAAGTGAAAACAAAATATAAGATCAATATTTTGTTATACTAGTGAACATGTTGTCTTTTGTTCTGTGCTATATGGATGGTTCAAGGGGAGTGTCTCAGTTTAGTTGCAGTGGGAGCCTGCACTGACCCGTTTATCGATTTCTCCATGCTGCAGTTGTACAAAACGAGCGCTGATAGCAGCAATGTAGCTCTGCTGATTAGAGAACGCGACCCGCCCTGCTCCCTTAGGGTACTTCAGCTCTGGGTCTGTGTCGATGCCTGCATAGCACACGCCACCATACAGCCTGTCCATGATCATAGCCAGCTCCACTGTGGTCAAAAATAACAAGCACAAGCATACACACACACACACACACACACACACACACACACAGGGCAGCTTGAGTGGATCATCAGCAAGATTATCATTATCTGAATTAACCTTAAATCCAGGGTTTATCACAATAACACACTACAAAGCACTATGGTAACTGCTGGTAGAGTAACTGGGAAAATGTCCCTAGCTCCACAGCATACCTGCACGAAGAGGGCGTGGTACTCCACCCACAAAAATGGTCTTCCTGGGATCCAGGGGCTGAGATCCATCCATCACAAAGTCACTATCATTCAAATTCCAAGGGCGAATCTGGACCTGTTTTAATAGAGAATGTCAGCTCTAAACTTACAGCTGTGTAAAATCCAAAAGCTCAGTCAGCCCATGAGCTTAATAAGAAAAGGGAAAGCAAACTCAGCAGCCTTTAACAGATATAAGAGAAAATGCGTTTTGCACTGCTATATGCTTGTAAGGACACTGCATACTTTTGGTTTTCATTGATTTTCAAAATTTAACAACACATTATATGGCTTATCTAAAAAATTAAAAAAGATCTTTAGGACAGGAAGTAAGCTTTTCAGTGTCTGTCCTAATTAAAAATGAAGGGTACATATAAAAGCATGCAATTTCTAACACTACATCTTGCTAATTCTATTTTTATTCACTTCTACCTCTACTTGAAGACTCCGATCGTCTACAAAAATGTCATGATACTAATGTGGAACACAAATTGGCTTTGATATGGCATGAACCAAAATGTTTCATGTAGAAAAGTCACTCTTACAGGTTTGTCTTTAATGGTGGGGCTGGAAACACACAGGTAAAGCTTGCCATCTTCTTCAATGCAAGCGTCAATCAGAGCCTGAACAGAGCTCTCATCTTGGAACAGGAGAAATGCATAACCTTTTGGGGAAATCAACAAAACTCCATCAGCATGTTAGTGAGTACCTTTGTCCACATTGATGTGAGTGACTAAACTCTCTCAGAGCAATATACAAATCAGGAAGCTTCTTTTACATTGTGTGTTTGTAAAACAGAATCTGGGAAGCAAAACTTGGTCCATTGTAATCACATGTACTAGTACAGTGAGATAAATCTATACTCTGCCTGGGGAGTCTTTGAAAATTCACAAGAATGGTTTGGCAAAGCCCAAACTCCTGCTGTGTTACAGATCTTCACCCACCTTTTGGTGGAAAGTAAGATTTGCTTTCAGCCTTGTGGGGCCAGTCCACAAACAGGTGCCCGAAGCGTCGGAAACTAGCAGTAATCTCATCTGGAAAAGACAATAAAACATAAATTAACTGATTCTACAACAAGTTTCAATAGTATGTTCAACATGAACAACAGCGTAACAATCTCACTCTATGGGGTAATACCTTCATCTATGTCAGGGGGAAGGCCACCCACAAAGACCTTGCGGGAGTAGCGCTCAACCCTCTCTCCATTCTGGTGTGGGAAGCAGTGGGGGGAGCTCAGGCCAGGCAGGCTCTGCTCAGCCCTCTCCTCGTCTGGGAAGCCATCCTCCATGGGGAACAAAGAAGAGTGGCCTGGAAGAGGTCCATGAAGAGATCAGTACCTGTGCTTGGCAATTCTAATTGATGGCTACATCAAAGCCCATTACCAGTCAAACAAATGTGAAAGGCAAATTACCTCAAGCCTAAAAGGAGCCCTCAAGAAGCAAACAATGTTATGTAAAATGAATTTTTCATTTGAGCGTAATGATTTCATAAGCATTTACATAAATTACTCAGCTCATTGTAAATGAATTCACCTTTTGAGTAAATAAACCACAGCCTGTTCTGTTTGTATTCTGAATGAAAGCAGAGCAGTTTCTTTGTTTAAAGTAGCTTTGACCAGTGTAGTTAATGTTCTGGCTGAGTTCCTGCTTCTCTTTTATTGGTCCCTTTCTCTTTATGCTGTTTGGGCTAGCTGGGACCCATCCTACGTTACAGCTGTGTAGATCTGTTCCTGAGCTTCAGCAGTGTTATTCCATGCCGTATGTTTCTAGGCTTAAGCTACAGCAGATCTTTTCCTACTGACATGACAGAAAGCAGGCCTGAGCTGCTTTATAAGAGAGTTTATGTAAGGGAGTGAGTCCCAACTGTCACCCACATGCAAGTGTCTGTGTGTCTATGGCTGAGATGTGTGGCATGTATTAGTTGTGGGCAGAATACAGGTTCATCCAGTATACCAGTTTAAATTCTTCTAAAGATAGGAGATTTGCCAAAAACTCTATAGTGGTATGCCACAAACAAGCACAGATAATGCATCACACATACAATGCAAAACACACTAACATTATCCTATTAAGCTGAATGATGGAGTCGGGGATGTTTTTGTCACGTTTCAGTACATACATACACATACATACATACATAAATAATTAAGTTCTAAGTAATTAAGTAAATCTTGCACCATTTTTTTGTCCAGAAACATGTAAAGAAGGCCTGGTCTCCTAGGCTTAGCCTTTCGCCCACTTGCCATGCTTCTGCTCCCAGCTTATGTTAACAGCTGCTGCTATTAGTGAGAATAACAGTAGTTGATAACAGTAGTCGTAGATGTAAGCTCAATATACAACGTTTAGCATTGTTTTTGCCTATGAAAAGCTGCTGTATGATTACATGTATGCTCCATAAATTTATCTATATGACCTTCGGAGCTTTTACCATTTTTCACGATAAAATATTTCAAAAATATACTTCATTCACACAATATGCCTCATATATGTGTATGTGTGTGTGTGTGTGTGTGTGTGTGTGTGCACAGCTGCACAAAGCACGAAAAAAGCCCCAATTAAAATTAGTTTTCCACCCAAAATTAGGGAAATACGGTAGGAAAGATGCAAATAGGCACACAATCAAAACACAAATGAAGATGGAGGCCGCACATGTACATGCACACAATTTAACAATGCTCCCCACAACATTTCATGCAGACATTGGCACTGGCATAATTTTCTAAATTGTTCATGTGGAGAAATTTTCTAAAATTATTATTTCTGCTCATTCTGAATCGGTCAAAAGTTCATTCTTTACCTCGTCGCCTCCCATAATTCCTTGCTGCATGTAAAATAAGATCACATGTGAGGGAACACGTTTTCTCTACATCATCTTTCTGTTAAAATGCCCCTAACCAACCCACCTAATATAGTTTGAAACATTCTTTTTTTTAATTATCAGTGAAACATATACTTGTACGCTTTAATGTGTATGGCATCACAAAGGATCTTTCTATTATGGTGCAGTTTACATACCAAACAGAGGTTGGACTATATCAACACTTCTTCATTCCTTCCTTTATTACCTCCTGTTCAGCAGGGCCAAGAGGAGCTCAAACACTGTGAGGAAATTGTCTAGATTCTCCTGGCTTGATGCCTAAGGTTATCCAAAAGCCTTTGAAAGAATGCCCATCCGCTGCTGCTTCATCATGAGCAAGATTCAGTATATACACCCCCACGTGTCTCAGAGCCCAAACGGCAGCAACTGAAATGTATACATTTCCAAAGGAGATGTTCTAGACAGTGCCCTGGTGCTAGAGGATTGAGCACATAGCTAGCCAATGAACAGCATTTCCAAAACAGCAAAACTCGAAAGTTCTCAAACTTGCAAAATTGATACTGTTTAACTAGAGCAGTCCCCTAAAGCAGAGGCTGCCAATCCCGGTCCTCATGACCTCACATTTTGCACATTTTTGTTTTTTCTCTCATCACAAACACATTATTCAAATCATTAACAAATTTGTACATATAGTAGGGAAAATGCAAAAATGTGCAGAGCACACGGTCATCATAACTGGGATTGGGAATACCTTGGTGTGAAGAGAACCAATTTTCAACATGCAGTATCCACTTTAGTTTTACCAGTGCTGGAAGTGCAGTGCTCTTGCAATGAACAGGCTAACTGTGAAAAAGATAAGCTCAAAAAGCTAATGCCTTTGGTCAAAATGTATTTTATTTACTGAGCTTAGTCTATATCCTAAATAAGGACACAAATTATTAAAACGTACAAGACACTGTTTAAGCAAACCAAATTTTTAATCCTGAAAGGAAAACACACTGGAAAACAAGAAAAGTTCAGCTGTGCCTCTGCACCTTTCATGTTTCATTTGTGTGATTTGGGGCATGGTTGGGAAATTATAAATATCTGCATTAGCACATGTCAAATCTATGCAAATAGACTAGACTGTTGCAGTTGAGTGAGCATGGGCTAATGGTGAAGCAAACGACTGGATAACGAACCGGTGAGACTGAGTTTACCCCCCTCCACAAAGCAACAAAGGCTAGCGCTAAGGCACATGGGTAGTGCTTCCTAGGCACAAACACGCTGCTAATCTTGCTGACTGTGTCAACACACAGCTCACTGGGCCTGTCTGTCCATCTGCTTGTACGGGGTTAAGCCACTAGTGCAATAAAGCAATAAAATCCATCTACGCACCATTTATAGGCAAAGGGCTGTCTCCTCCTGGATGGGCGAATCCAAGGCGACCTTTGGGAGAGGAGGGTATAAATCATTTAGTACAAGGCTGAAAAGAAGTATAAGAACATCTGTGTCCACTGGCCACTCATGGTTTGTGGCAGTACTTTGTGGAGATATTTCACTTTTGTTACTGTAAATTTAACTGACAAAAACTAGGTAGGTAGTTTCCGTTTGAAAAACATTCTTTTCTGCCTTATTTCGTTTTCCTTATTTGTTTATCTCAATTTACTAACTGATGACAGAACTGATTTTAAACTAGAGGCCAGCACAATTAAATAATCAATGAGTAGCTTACAAGATTCAATAATACATCAAGTTAAGCCAATTCAAATAAGTAAACTTTAACTAACTGCTAAACAAGTCTACCTTTCAAGGCCATAACAATAAGAACTTCAAAGTAAAATGCCATTTTAATTGTTTTCACATGTAAATTGACCATTTAAAATTCTACATTCCCACTGCTCCTCTGCTTTTCTTTTGCTACAACTGTCCATCAAAGAAGACAATAATTTTACAACGACCTTTCAAATGCCAGCGCTCTACATGTTCCATGTACAGCATATTTCTTTGGGTTCCCAGCTGTCATCCATCATCCAAGTCAAAATATGTCACATTCAGATAACCATCTCCAGTAAAAGAATGAAAGGAACATGGTTGGAGCAAAACCAGTTAGTTTGCATGAAGTGTTCCACTGTTGGGGAGCACCACTGACAACCAAAGTCCTTTCCAGTTAGGCACTAGGGGAGCCATCTAGTAGCCAGGCCAGCAGCAATGCTGGAGCCAGCACAATGTTTTGTTGCTCCAGAGAGAACAGAAAGCCCTTTCTACTGGCGGAGCACAATGCTGGAAGTCTTTCAAAGCTCTTTCACACACGTTTTTCAATCTTTCTCTTTCCATGACTTGTTTAGCCAAGCCTTTCCAAGCTTAACTGGTACGTATCAGAGGGGTCAAGCTCAAAGGTGTCAGAGTGAAGGTGCATGAATCAGAGCTGATACTACAACGTTAACTGTTAAGTTTGCACAGCATGTTGGCCAGGCTTGGAAACGGAGATGGAATGTACTCTACGTGGAGATAATTATCTTTTAATTACTGGAGCTTCCATTATAAAGACAATTTCATCGTGAACCCTCTCACAGAAGGTTCACTGTTCGAAACAAATCAAAAGATAAGTAGAGCAAATGAAAGGAAGCCTGATGAAAGTGGACACCAGAACAGTTGACGTACAAGGCAAGAAAATGAAATTTTAATTTTCTGCAATACCTGGACTACCACACAGTAAGCTAGCTGCATGATGAGCTACATCAAAGCACAGAGGAAACCTGAGCATTACCAAATACAGAAACTCAATGCACCAGGTACAGTGCTTCAATTTAAGAGTGATGAGCTAAAGAACTCTCCTTTGATCTTCTGTCTTTTGATATATTGGAAAGTTTGACAAAACCTTTGCAGAAGCAAACCAACCTTCAGGACACAAAAAAACCTAGACAGGTTTGTATTCTTACCTGACACTTTGCAAACTAAAAACACTCAAATGTCACAAATGATGCTCCTTTAACAATTTATACCTCATACATTGTTGCACTTTTGCACTTTTAAAACCATCACAACCCTGGCAATTTAATATTGAAGTTGGTACATCCCCCTTTTCCCTAAGAAACATGTGATTAGCTTGTAGAGACCTCAGAGCTAGAAGTGTGGACAAAGTCCTTGCTAAGTTCTGCTACAAAACTAAGCAAAACAGCCATTTGTAGGTCAGCATAGTGCTTCCTCTCTCTGACCAGAGGCTCAGTACTAATGGAGAGCTTTTGGCAGCTGCCTGCTCCCTCACACACACACACACACGCACAGACACACACACATAAAGAAAATTTCAGACCATGTCTGATGTCAAGGAAATCTCCACATCTCCAAAACCGCTAACACTATCTGCAATGGACAAGGGTCTGCTGTTCTTAGAGACTGGGGAACATGAGATGGGGGGAAAAAAAAAATCAGGGGAAGGGTTGGGTTTCTTTCACACATTCACTTCCATTTTTGAGAGTCATACAGGCAGCAGTGGGCATAAAAGATGTAATCTAGTTTCTTTACAGGCTGGCTAAAATAACCAAATGGGTTCATTAACTGCCACTACCCCTAACATCTTCAAAGGTGGGTCTGGTAGGAAAGTGCCTTGTGACTTGCAGTCAGTGGAGAAAGGGGAACATGAGTCTAATTGAGTAATAACGAACCAGCTTTCATGGAAACGGAGATGGCACACAGCAAAACCTCACACAAAAGAGGAGCTCCTTCTACTGCATATTAGAAAGACTGACAGCTTTAAAGAATAACTAAAGACTGCCACACATTTCACTCACACAGAAAGCACCATACTTGTATCACGTGTCAGTGCCTGCATCAAGCAGACAGCTGAAGGAGAGGACAAAGGTTTTTTGGCCATCGATAAAGGGCTTTCACACGTGAGCTCATTCTTTTGACTCTTATCTTACCTTTCAGGGTGTCCTGCTCAGCTCGCATGATGTCGATGAGCGAGTTCTCCAGGGAGTGCATGTTGAAGCCGTCGAATGATCGAGTGCGCTCCTGTGCAGTAGGGAAAGGAGGGGGAGACGAGCATTAGAGGACAAGAATAAAACTATGATGACATTTCTCATATCCCACAGCTCTGTGGGAATATCGCTTTCATCTGCAAAGGATTTCGAGCCAGTGGGCTTTTGTTCAATCGAACTGTTCGTGGTGCTTGTTCACATTTGCGAGAGGCTGAAGCAGCGAACAAGCTCAAGTCTTAATTATTCCCTTCTATTCTGCACTGTGTGACATGTCCAATGATTAACTCGAACTTTAAACATGGTCACAAAAATGGCTGGGAAATGTAGAAGCATTGAAATTGTCATAAAAGCTGGTCCAAAGTGGCAACCTGATAAAGAACGGAACTTAGCAGCAATAAATTATTCTACATGACTCTTCGCTTATTTTTAAACCTAATACATTGAGTCATAAACCATGAACAATTAATTAACAAATAAATCACTTGAACGCAAAAAAGAGAAACAGCCAAAACAGTGAGCAAATACATGAAGATTTGGGAGAATCATAAGCAAACCACATGCAAAAGCAACATAACAAAACAAATTTAAAATTTGTGCATAATTTAAAATGTAACCATTAAATAAAATTTGTGCATCATTTCCAATCTATAGATTTATTTTAATTACACTTCATTTATCCATTTAATATCAGTAAAGAAAGCCAAACTCTAGTAGGCTATTCCATAAATGTATGGGTCCATTGCTTGTGACTGACTAAAGCAATTCAGTTCTGACAGCTACCAATTCCTTAAATTGTCCACTGCACATCATCCACTTGGAAGTCCTTTATACTTGTTAGGACTGGGCGCGTTCTAGCGAAAGCCCTGGTGGCGTTTTCTACTGCAAGGAAAGCGACACTACTCTGCTGTCGCCAGGAGAGGGTGCACTTCCGAGTTTTTAGACTTGATTAGAGAGGGACGAGGCCACAAGTTTTAAAAGGGTTGTCAAATATACTTCAGCAACATCTGAAACGTGGAGTTATACATTCCCTGTTTGAGTGGAGGGACCGGTGATCTGTTCTCCTGTGACCAAGTGACGAGATAACTGACGTAACTGTACAGTCCTACGGTGAACTCACCTCTTTCCGTGCATCCTAACAACTTTAGTGGTGTTAAATCACGTCTGCAGCGCCGCATTACAGCGCCAAACCGTCATATGTTAGTATTAGTGCATTCTCGAGCAATGAAAGTGAAAGAAAGAAGTGGGTTAATGTTAGTTACAGCCCTGTTTTAAACGAAAGTAAACTGAGGAAGCTGTGAGGCATTGGAGAGCAGGAGAGCGCTGTCTTTCCAGGTTAGCTGTTTTTAGCTGCTGGCTAATTGAAGCAGCGCTCCGGCGCTCCGGCACAACACGGAGACACAAAATCACCGCTTTCAGTTTAAACATACCTAAAAGGAGGACTCTGTTTGACTGGTGCGAGAGATTCACACTGCAGATAATGTTTTTACACAGCGAACGTCAGATATACTGCGGTTCACCCCTTAAACTACTACGATAGTATAGAGAAATCCAGCCGTCGCTAGCTGCTGTCTGAATACTGTGATCTGCTCTGACATGGATGTGGTAGGAGTGACAGCAGTGACCTACCGAACCGAGATGACAATGTTGAGAAACTAAAGAGTTTAGCACTGTTGTTGGCCACTTGTTTAGTATTTGTAACGGGATAGCCGAGCACTCGTCACCAGACAGCTAAAAATAATCTGTTTTCTTTCTTAAATAATGACTATTACAAAAATTGCAGCTGTGCTTTTCCAGCTGATAAGAACAGCTCAGAAACTTTCTCCCACTGTCCCAAGACAGATTTGTGAAATGTTCCACTGTTTGCCGAGTGTTTGTCATGATCCGACCATAAGTGATAGTTTAAAACCACAATTAACCACCCAGGAGCAAAATCAGCCTTCAAACGTGAAAGAAATGATGACATTTATCGCGATATGTATTGATATCGAACAATATGAGTTTTGTTTAGCGTGATAACGTTTTTGGCCATATCGCCCAGATCTAATACTTGTTATATCATTGGTGTTTTTCCACAAGATGGTACAGCATGGTACAATTACTAAACTGAACTCACAACTATTCATATCCTGTTCAAGTTCCTGCGTCCATTTCCCATCACACAACAGCAGGAGGTGTTCCCTGGGAACTGTGTGAAGCTCATATGATTTCTCACACAACATTAGCATTAACAACACACACCAACAACAGTAGCAACAGTGGAAAAGACCTCGAGTTGCTTATGATAATTAAAATGTTTAATGGCTATTAACTCCAGCATATCATCAACGTTAGAGCCCATCCATAGTATCCACTCACAGCTCAGATGGTGGATCATTTTCTTATACATTTCATACACTCTGGTGTTTTTAAATCCAGATTAAAATCATATGTATTTAGGCTAGGATTGTGGCTCAATTTCATGTATGGTCTGTAACTGTCCTGTTATTTTTCATTTAGATAGTAGTGTTTTCATCTTTCAAAATTTTTTACTTATTTTCCTATATAAAACACTTTGTGATTTGAGTAACTAGAGTGTAAAGTGCCAGACATATTTTATATATTTTATAATTTTCTGCAATACCTGTATATATATAAATATATACAGATTCAGCACAGTACTAGGGTACAGAATGGCTCAAAAAGAAATACAATCGAAATATCCTTTAATATACATTATCACTGCTCTTAAAGAAAAAAAAAATCGTCACTACATAACACTATTTTGGACCCGAGTTGGTTTGAAGGTCAGATGGTCAGTCAATTTGATCATGGACCTATGCTGAATTACAGTGGTGCTGATATTTGAGAGCGTCTGGTGCTCTGAAAGCGAAGGCTGTCACTATGGAAGCACTGAAACAGGTGCTCTCACATAGACTGGTTGCTATGGAATTGTACATGAATCACAGATCAGTACTGTGTTAAAAAAAATAAAAATAAAAAATTCACTGCAGATTCAGCTTGACATTATCCAACAAAGGCCACTAAAGAGCAAGCTAGAAGGAAAATATGTGAAATATGAAACATTTTACTTAAAACAGTGACTTTGAGAAGATTAGTCTGGATCTGAAGTCATTACTCATTATGAACTTCTGACCTCTTTATTACCCCTCAAAGGTGAAAAAGGTTTTGTAGTCTGTTTACAGACCATTTGTCTTATATATTGCTGCTCCAAGCTGGATGAATATACACAAAAGGAGCCTAAGTTTTTTGGGTTTTCAAATGAGCTGATGGTCTTTTTGGAAGGCATGCCATGCTAGTCCAGAACATATAAATGACTATAAATATGCTCACTTTGTAATTAAGCATGCAGCTGGGAAGTGTTTTAAGCACTACTGACATCCACAATATGCTTAGAAAAGCATACTGTAATTTAAAGATAATGAGATATATATATATACACACACACACACACACACACACACACACACATATATATACACAAACACATATATATATACACACACACACACACACACACACATACACACACACACACACACACTTATTTATTTATTTATAAACATACTGCTCAGCCCTAATGAGAAGTGAGGGCCATTTCTGATAAAACTAAAATTTCAATTAAAATGATGGTGGGCATAAATGTTTTCATGTGTACATTATTTTCTGGTGCAAGTCAAATACAAAACAAATGCCATGCAGTACTTAAAATGAGTGAAAGGAGGTGAATAATGATTACTAAAATAACATCAGATATATTACGTGCATTCCAGTGCAATTCCTTTGGGCAAACACCTGAATTGGACATTTTAGTACAGTCCAGAAAAACATTTTTACCAAGGATTCACTTAATTAGTCTGTGGAATGCAGGGACTGGGCATAAAACAAAAGAATAATGACAGTACTGTCCACAAATATAACTAGACTCAATGGGTATTTTTAAATCCTGGCAAATGCTAAACTTTGATCATCTTTTTTTTCAAGCAATAACTTGATGTGATCTTGTGCAGGAACACCTGTATATATACAGGTCTATATTTTATTAGGTATGCTTTTAAATATTATTGGTACACTTGGAAAGTACAGTAAATTAATCTGATTTGATACATCAAATTATTCAAACACACTAGGTAAAGACTTTCCTCACACGTATACTGAAATTTGATTGTAGGTGGTAAATTAGGCTCTTTGTCTTCCCAGAAAAGAACCAAAAAAGATCAAAATTTTCTAGTCCCTGTCTGTTGCAAGTTGAGTCATTCAACATGTAATTCAGCCATTGTTCTCAAAGAGAAAGACAAAGGAAATCTGGTCTCTCCGGTAAAGAAAGGGGGTGGGACAAATTCCAGGTCTCTATGCCTAGCATAGCTTCTGTTGTCAAGTACCTTAGTATGTGATTCACCATAGACTCTGCCCATTTTCAGTCACGATTCAGCATCTGCTCGGACCTCCTAAGCACCACTTATGTCCATCAGCTTAGAGAGACTCCTCACATGCTGCACTTATTCTAGTGAAGAGTGCTAGCACAATGATTCAGAATATCAGAATAGGCCAAAGGCCATCTTCAGAATTATTGCCCACTACACTTTCCTGAGAGGGCTATGATGAAGTACTCAAATGTGCATGAAGCGGACATTAGCAAAACAGGGCAAATTCTGTCATGTCAAGCACCTTTGTTTTAAAAAGGTGCTAATAGGTGTTTCTTCATTGTTCTACTGGGAGTTACTTTGGTTCATCTGTTGAGTCTGCAAGGTGAATCTATAATTAGACTGTGAATGGGCCCCACCGTTACCAGACAAAGCTAGCTCGAAGGCTCCCACCCACAGCCACTAAAAGCCTGTTTTCAGATCACTATGGTTGAAGTGATATGCAAAAGTCTACTGAGTGTTTTTCAGAAATGAGCCTTGATGAAATACTGTGGTGAGAATGATCAAGTGTGGCATGTTACGTGTGTTTCAAGAATGACATTAATCCACAATGTTCTAGCCAAACTAATAAAAGAGGGAATGGGAACAGAGGGAGGCAGGGACTTGACATTGTTTTTTGTGGGTAAAGGTATTTCAAAGCCTTCAACATTAAATCACTCTAAAGCCTATTAATCCAGCCTATGCGCATGGTTGCAAAGGCAGGGGGTGAGAAATCTTTTCACAGGGGAACATGATTGACTTTTGTGATAAAGTAATTAAAATTGAGCACAACCTCTCAGTCAGTGAGACGGAGTTAAAAAGCCGTAACCATCACAGTCACATGGCTTCTTCCAATTACAACACCAATGTCACTTTCCTTAAAAGAGTTGCTTATTGAACATGAAGCTATTTTGGGAAACATACAGATTGTGGGAGTACTGGGTTACTTCTGACACTCACTTGTCTGTTCCAATAGCCACTTTTCAAAAGTCATTACAAAATCATGGAAGATTACGGGAAAACAATCAATCTGTCTTTAAAATAGTATGTTACGATATACTGTTTCCACTATATATATTTTGCAGCAGTGGCCCGCCACTGCAAAATTCTTCCCGGCGTTGCTTCAGAATTTTATGAAATGTCATGAAGTCGCAATTACAGACTTCTGCAGAGGGCTTTTAATTTGAAACGATGGATACATGAAGAGCAGACACGTGGCAACACTCAACCTGGTCTTCTTATGTCTATGCAACCGACAAGAGGAAAAGAAATCGAGTAGTATCTGAGAGGCCCAGAAGGTGGATTTTTTTTTCCACCCAGGTCCTTGCATTATCAAGCAGTGTATACTGGTCATCAACTCATTCTAAAAGGACTCCTCTAATAGCCAATGAAAACAGAGCATGAAAGAAGTAAATACAGCAAGTAAAACAAAAAAAATAAATAAAAAAATGACAAAACGTAGCAGCAACATGCTACTCCAAGTTTGTTTATTTGCATCACCTAGTAACGGAAGAATGCGTGAGTTTGCAAGCATTTGGTGACAAGGTTCAACAATAGTGAATGCCGAATGCATGGGGCAAGTAAAATGCGACATTGTGATAGCAGCGCAAAAAAAATCACTTGCCCGGTTGGGCAATTTCACGTTCGTTGTGGGGAGGGGCAACAGAACAACGTGAGGCCAAACTCAGCTCCCTAAAAATTTATATCTTACTCATTCTTGTGAAACAAATCATTAGTATTATATGTTGACAAATGACATCAGAGCGAGACGCGCAGGAAAATGTATGCGAAGCGCGAATAAGCAAAAAAAGCCAATAGCACATCTGGACTGCTAGACATACGACAGATGAACAGTGAAGCCGGTTCCAAGTTGACCAAGTTAGTCACAACAGCATATCACACGGGTAAAAGAGAAAAACCTTTCACAGACTATCCACATGAGATATACCTTCAAATTAAAAATGGGCTGGAACTTGGTAGCCAGAACTGTAGAGGAACTTGAAGAAGGTAAGATAATATTTACTAAGCAATAACTCATGCATGCAAATGCTAACAATGAGATTATTGATAACTTTAAACTGATTAATAGTATTTATAATAAAATAGAAATACGATTCAACGGTAGGAATCTGAACAGCTTTGTTAAAAACGATGTTTCAGTCATTAGACTTACCATGTTGATCTTATTTATATAAGCATGGTGTGCTTATTTATCTTTAAATAACACTGTAAAATACAAAGATTTCAGGAAGCTTTCAGGAATCTTGCCCGATTGGGCAACTTAGGAAAACGTTGAACCCTAAGTGATTTGTTTCAGCAACAACTTACAAGTTGAGTAGTGTGTGATCCCCAGTATTTGGAGTGTGGGCCTGCCACCTCTGCTGAAAAAACATTCTAGAGGAAACACTTATAAATCGTGCTTTATATAACCAAGGACAATTAACATGGCAAAAAAATGTCAATTTGTATAGCAGTTTCATTTTACTGATTTGCTGATTTTACAGACTTATTGGCGATTGGTATATTAGCATATATACTGAGGTTTACTCTATTTAAATGTATGATCATAATTTTGTATGCACTGTAAGACTGATCAAGGCACAGACTGTAATCTTCAAATTTTGAGAGGTCATTTTGCAAATCTAATAAATTTATGCCCTTCAGACAGCCTGTTCATGTTTAAAGATCCTAATATAAATCAACATAATCATTCCAGTTATCTCACCAAGGTTTTCCATATTGGTGCCCATCACCAGCATGTGCCGAACAAATTATATGCAATCAACACCATAACTCTTGTGTAAAATAAGTGAAAACCCTGGGCTCTGATATGTAAGCTAATTTATTCATATGTAATAAATGAAAGCAGACCAACTGACCAAGTGAATTCACTAAGACAGGGCTATAACACCAAGCACCTATGCATCCATCTGAGCAGAGTTATTATTATGAGGCTGGATGCACAAATGAATCCAAATCTGTTAAAAGCCCACAGAACCACACAAAAGCATGCTAACCTTCTAACCTTAGATGGAATAATTCAAGTTGAACAGTCTCACAACACCTTTTCCTTTATCAAAGAGCACTGAGACCATTAATGGGTAGAAAGCCTGCGGACCTGTCCTGGAGTTATGTGCCCAAACCAGAACTGGGTACATGCCCAGCTCGGGGCCTAGCCCATGCAATCACGGAAGGCTTTAGCACAGCTTACGGAGAGCTAAGAGGATGCCTGGGGTTTAGAAAGTAAAAGACCTGGCTGGCCCAAGCGCACAGAGCTTGGACTCAAATGCAGCCTTAAAACAGCATAGGAAAAGTGGAAACAGCCTCTCCCATTAAGGGAATAGAAGATGAGCTTTCATGGAGAGAAAGTGCCTTACATTCATAGGAGGCATGCCTCAGGTTAAAAAGGACTTCTTTCCTTAGTGACAAGGGGCATTTTCAAAGTCGTAGTGTGGATATAGAGAGTGTGTTAAATTTGTATGTCTTACAAATAGCACAACTTTATGTTTAATTGTTCACATCCTCAGTCATGACTTTGCAGAAAAGCCTACACCTAACCTTTGGGGGCTCTATGAGATGAGCTGTGCAACAACTTATTTGCTTCAGCATATGAACTCTGTTACAATAAGCACACAAAAGGCTGGCCTGTCCACAAAATAAACCTCTTTAAATGGTCTCACTGTCAGTCTGATCGCTAATTGAGCCTCGAGCATGGAGCAAACGCTGGTGTGAATAACAAGGAAGAGACGCCTCCCATCAGCCATATTTGTTTTTTTGTTTTCCTTTACAGTGTCTTCGCTCGACTAGCCTACTGTCAAGAGAACCATCTCCGCCGCCATGAATGATCGCATCTCCCATTTCTCATTTTCTCTCCGAGCAACTGCTTAATTACACATTTCGCCAGCGCCAGGGTGTGTGTGTTGTGTATGCAAGTGCATACGTATGTGTGTGCACCCTCCCCTCAAGAGACAGCCTTTGCTTTCACACCAAACACCAGATAGTCTTGGCCAAGACACACAGAGTCTGTGGAAACTTCCAGCGTCATTATGCAGTGCTGGGAATCACATCACGTATTCAACCAGCTGGAGCAGATAGCTGCGAACAAGAGCTGCCTGTTCTCCGCAGTGAAGCCGCAGGTTCCAGCCTCTATCAAATAGTCCCTGTCCGTAGCTTTTCACAAGCCAGTATGCTAGAGACCAGAACCCAGAGCAACAACTACAATGGTCAGCATGTAAAAACGACTCAATAAGAAGATCTAGGCACCTGTTCACTGTAATGAAATGGAAACTATGTGGCACTGGCACAGGCTTAAAGGGACAGAGCAGCACGTGACGTGAGGCCAGTGACCCACAGAAATGTGATTGTAGCAATACTAAATTTAGAGCAGACAGCTTGCCGATAGGATAGCAATCTCAACAGACACAAAAAAAAACCTTTTTGGGACTTCAATGTTAGGATAAAAAGAGGGCAGTGAACAACACTAAATCAATCGCTGAGTTAGGAATGTGAGGCCATCAAAAGAGAAAGCATTCAAAGAGAAACTTATTATGCAACTGGCAAGGTCAATGCAATTTCAACAAAACCATGAAATGCCAAATTAGGCCCACATAATGTTCCTGTGATCTCTTTTACCCCTAATTTTTCCACTGTTGCCAATTTGGCTTAAGAAGGCTTAGTTCAGAATGTAACCTGGCACCCAGAAAGGAATACTTAATTTAATATGTTGCCTGTCTAACAAGCTCATTTTGCCATCTCACTCTCTCACCACAAACACCCTGCCCCCAGCATACACAGTCAAATCCTGCTTTGGTTGAACTAGAGAGGACAGGCTCTAAACAAATAGGAGCAGGGCACGTGACCAGCTGAGCTCACAAGTGCCACATTCAGGGTGAAGTTGCAGCACTACAGCCCCAGAATCATGATTTATATTTATGTCCTTTTAATTAAATCGTTCAATGTATTCTATATTGTTATACTTCAAGCACTCAAATCATGTGTGCACTTATTTCATGCTCACAGACGCTATCAAACCCTGATATGCTTTTTGGGGTGACGTCAGCCATAAATATCTCTCAAAGAGCTATCTTCAGAAATAGAGAGGCAGTGCTACATTAGTCATCAAGGCCTCCAGCACTTACAGCATCAGGCTTCTATTCTAGAGCAGTTAAACGTTTGTCACGATGTGCTACAGGCAAATTAGCACTGTACATAAAAGAACAACAAAATGGAGAGGTTCTCATTTGACTTACTATTTTTACTACAAATACCTGAAAGGGGAAGATGTTCTCGCTCCTGCTAATGCTTTCATCCATCCAGGACTTGGGGTTGAAGCCAGGGCTGGTCCGCGAGTACTTCTGCGAGGGCACGTGATTGTTGGGGAAGGTCTTCTTCAGGGGTGAGATGGAGTTGAGCGGGGTCATGCCGCCATTCAGGCCCCGACGGAACTCACCACCCCGAGAGCCTCCCCAGCCACCATAGCCGCCACCTGGGCTCCAGGAGGTGGAGGAAGGAGAAGGTGAAGGGCTCTGGTAGCTGCCCCAGGGCGAGGGCGGCTTGCTCAGGTTGTTGGAAAGATGGGGGAGCTGGCCAAAGGCTGCATTGCGATGAGGGAAGGGAGGTGGGTGCGGGCTGGCAGGCGAGCGACGGTGCTGCTGGTGCTGGTTGTGAGGGTGCTGGAAGTGGGGGTGAGGGGGATGGTGCTGGGAGATGGGGCCAATCTGAGGTGAGAAGTTCCCCCCGAAGCCTGGGCTGACGTGGTGCGAAAAATTCTGGAACAGCAGCGGGCCATTGTTGGCGGATGCAGCCGGGTTGAAGAAGCTGATGTCCTCGTTGATGATAGTGGAAGGGGTTGGGGGGATAGCAGCCGACCAGTTGTTGAAGCTGGTCAGGGAGGAGGAGGTGCTAGACTGGACAGCTGTGCCCAGGCCAGAGGGTTCCTGATAGTCAAAGGGTGTCAACACAGGGGACTCAAGGCGGAGCTTCTCTTTGCCATTCGTGCCCTCAGAGGGGCTGCTCTCCACTTTGCTCTCCTCTGAGCGGGCCTTCTCCAGCTCAGAGATGATCCCACCCTCCTGGTGCCCAGGGGAGAGTTGCTGCTTTTCTTGTGTCTCTTGGAGCTCCTGCTGCTGGGCTTTGGGCTTCTCCGAGCCAAGGATTTCGTCTTGCATGTTACTGTGGGCAGTGGCCGCAGGGAACAGCCAGGGAGAGCCACCGTTGCTGCCATTCCCAGCTGTGGTGCTGTTTATGAAAGCAGCAGGACTGGGTGTTGCATTCTGGTGGTGATGCGGAGGTTGCAAGTGGGGGTGAATTCGTACCGGGAAAGCGGACTTGTTGCCAGTGTTGTTTTGCACTAAGACTCCAAACCCGTAATCCCCCATTTATGTTCTCCAGTTAAGACTGCCACACGGTACTCTATCCTAAAAGAGATAAAAATGGATTAGTTAATCTCTGTATGTACTTTTAGGTGGCATCTCATTCACATCTTTTAATTTCACACAAAATTGTTAAGGGGTTATCTGTGAAGATTTTCTGTCATCCAGGGGGTCTTCAATCAATCAATAACTGAACTGATGAATTCCCTTGGATGAGTGGCTAAACACTTGACTTACTACTAGGAGACAATTCGATGAACCGTGAATATCGTTCTTGAGGTCTCAATATTAGTGCACACTGGAGCACAACCGGTTAGGCTACTGCATTTGGACAACTAAACGATATGGTAAACCATTCTTAGTGTTTCGACAGCAGTGTACATATTACACGTATTTCAACACCAGTCTACTCCACATCACACGACGAAAAGATATCGAATGGTCAGCCACCGCTGACATTTTCTTACGTTCTCACTCAAGGTTGCTACGAGCGACCAGCAGTTAAAGCCGCTGAGCCAACACGCCGCTTTCTCATTGGCTCTCCCTAATTACTGTCTCGTGACGTCTCACTGCTAGCACTGAGCTAACCGGCACTTGCTAACAGGCTAGCTAACAGACTCTGAATTGAAAAGGCCAGCTGAGAGAAACGGAGCCAGAAAACACGAAGGTGACACGACGACATACCTTTTCACGACGACGTTTCCAACTCAAAGTTCATAAAGACACCCCCCTGATAGCGAGCTAAGCCAGCAGCGTTTGCACGTTATAACAGCCCTGGGAATTTCCTTCCCTTTTTCGACGAAGCAGCTAGCTTTTCAGCTAGCCCACAAAAAATGATGACGTCTTCTAATTTGTCGGGCTTTTCGCAGCGCGAGTCTTATCTTTACCGAATAAAAGAATGCGTAAAATACTCGTTTGACGATGAATAAAAATGACACACGAAACACGTACACAGCGACACTCCAAATAAATAAATAAAATCACTTTTCACCTTACTGCCTACCCTTGGTCCAGGCGACGGCTGGGAGAAGGATCCGATCCGATGCGACGAGAACCGCAAAGCTATTCGATGCCAGTTAAGTGACGAGCTGATTTGTGTAACAAGATGAAAAGCTTTTTATATATATATATATATCCCACAGGAACACCGAGTGTGGCTAGCGATAGCCTGGCAGCCTTTTTCTGCCTCGTCTTGACGTGTCCTGCCTTCTCAATGACACACAGCCCTCTCTCTCTCTCTCTCTCTCCGCTAGCAAGCAGCTAAGCTTCAGGCTTTAACTGAGCAACGTCACGTCATTGAAGAGAACACGACGTTGATTTACTGGCGAGCTGCAAACCGTTCATCGACGGTTTCATTGTTTTAAAAACGCTTTCTCTCTTTCTGTTTTTTTGAGCCAGCGGTCTCCTGTTGGCCGTCGCGCTGCGCCGCTGCTGTCCGTCTCTCTCCACACAAAATCTGCCGGAGCTCAATGACAAGGAGACGAAAGAGAGACGCTTCCGGCTGGAGCCCCGCCCCTACCGAACATGACCGTGCCCACTGAGGCTTGTTTCTCCCACGCTCGTTGAAGTCTCATCTTCTCATTGGTCAGACACCACATGGTCACGCCTATTTGTCCTTATTAAGCCGCAACGTGCAACACCTACTAAGGTAATTTGACAATCGAGGCCCCGCCTTTCCCCTTAAAACTCCTCCTGGTAAGGTCTTAATAACGTTTTACAGCTAGACGTTAGTGTGGGAGAAAGCTTTCTTTTAAAGAAATAATACTGACGCTGTTCTGTAGATCCTGTAGTGCATGTATTTTTTTATGGCTGCAGCATTAGAGCATTAGTAAGCATTTAGCAGTGTCTGATAAACTGGTTAAAAATCATTAAAATGGTTTAGAAAGGCTTTTAAGTATGCTTCATAAATGCTTAGAAAAGTATCATGTCCGTCTGAAAAAGAATTTCGTTTTCCAGTTCATACCACTGTGTGAACTCATCTCACACATCTGTGAATATGGTGTGAGACCTCCAGGGAAGGCCTTCACTACATATTTATGCAGCTTGAGCTGTTTCCAATATGGTGGGCGTTGAAGTGACTTTGCAAATGACCCCTCTGCAGCTTCCCCAAATCTCCTCCTGTGACAGATTTGGTGAGAATCGTGGTTGAGAATGTGTGTGTCATGTCTTGAGCAGTTGCGAATGACTGTAAGTGGCAGGGGTCGGTTCCTCTGAGCTGTGTTGGCACCTGCTTGAGCTCTTCTCCCGTGTTTTAGGCAAACAGGATCAATCTCATTACCAACCCTGCAGCAAATTGATGGGTCAGAGAGCATGGAGAACAGGGGCTCCATGCACAACAGCTGTGCCCGCAGACAGAGATCTCATTAGGGCCTGCCACTGCCGCCACCGCTGCTATTTTCATCCCATAATGGCGTGTTTGAACCACCATACTAGGGACTTAAAATAGTGTGCGAGTTGCATTTTTCTTTTTTGGTCCACAGACAATACATGTGAAATGACCTTCAGGAGATGAGTTTTTGAAGCTGGGCCTTTGTAAGCATAAAGGAGTAGGAACAGAAAATGGGGAAATGCAAGGTTAATTGATGTGGTTTGTGGAAAGCAATAGCATATTAGAATATTCTTTAATTTAGGCACAGACCATATACATTTATACATGTTTAAATTTCCATAAATGACAAAGGGAATTCATTCAAAGTGTGCTCATCCTTTAGCTCACTTCACTTTGCTATCTCATCACGTTTGCCCAAGACACACTACTTCACTTTCAGCAAGCTATCAGCAGCTTAAGTGTTTTGATTACCATCTAATTAATAAAGCCCTGGATATTGCTCTGTTTGTTCAATGCCTTCATTAACTACACATAACATGTATTAGGTGAGTTTAATAGTCACCTCATTAAAACTGACTTTTAATTAATAGGCTAACCTCCATTGCTTGTCTATATCTCAAAACCTCAGTTTCCAATTTCCTCCACAATTCTGCCAAGCCTGAGCCAGCCACGATTAATCATTCATCGTAATGACTGAAGGGAGGCTATCTGTAATCCATATTTCTTGCTCTCTGCAGGGTGGGAAGGCATGTATGTTAGTAAATGGACTGCATGGTGTAGACTAAACCAATTGGATCAGCCTCACTGGAAGCAGACAAAACTGGAATAACTTCCATGCAAAAATATGCAGATGATAAAGCACATTTACATGTATCAGGATTATTTGAATAAGGAGGCTTGGTGATATGGGCTCGGAGTGTTTGTAAAAAGCAGATGTGTGTTGTTCTTCCACAGTACATAGCCAGTCACTGCAGAGGCAGCCCCGTTTATTTTGCCTCCATTTTTATATGGCTGCCGAGTCGGCACAACTATGAATAAAACATTAAATCCATTAAAAAATTAATCACCCCTACCTAAGGCATAATTATGGCACGATGCGCTCCTTGAGAGGGGAGAGCCGAGTTGTGACAAAGCCACATTGTGTTGTGCGATACCGTTCAGTTTGGGCAGCCTGAAATATTTAGTTAGAGTACACAAGGCGAAACAAAGCGGTGTAAATCGAAACAGGCCACCTGGATCTTTTTCCTACTTCCAGCAGTTACCATGCTCAGCCAAAGGGGGGGAGGGGTGCTGAGCCAAAATGGCCGCCCTGCAGGTAGCATTTTCTGTGCGGTTGTGCCGGAAAGGACCCATCAACGGTAAAACTTCATTAAATCATTACCCAGTGTTCCCAGAAACCCAGAGGTCTGGATGGAGTCTGATGCTTCTTGTCTTTTATTTTCTCCCAGAGTGGTTCGTCTTCAACACTCGAGTCTGTTTTCATCAGAGCAGGGCACTCAAAGGCTGTGTAATTTATCAGCTTTCTCCGTAGTAGGCCTAAGCTTGCGCATATTGTCCTCCCAGTGTTTGTTCTCGTCAGGGTCCCTGAGGGATGGAATCCTAATGAAGTCGAAGAGGCCGGGGCAGTGCGTCAGCCCCGTTTTCGAGAAAAAGGAATGTGGCTCAGCTTGTGCGTACATCAGAGAGGCATTTGTGATTTCATTAGTCCTTTGGGTCCAGTGAGGAATAAATTATAGAGGAGCAGCTGGACATGTGAGTGTGTGCAGGGGAACAAGCTGCATGTTTATGCATTTATGTATGTGTCAAATTATGATGCCAACCATGACATCCAAATCTGGCGCCACGGCAAATCATCGCCAAAGCGCAAGATGCCAGTTATCTCAGGTGATTTTGAAGTATTATAGCCACATCAACCCACCTATCTCAAACATATCGCATCACAACAGCCACGGTGAGCAGCTTGAGATGGAGGAGGCTCTTGAAATTGAGATAGCTCTTTATCAGCATTCTCGCTTATCCACTTGGCTACCACCCCCCAGCTCCCCCAACACCCCCCCTACACCCCATGAAGTGCTGACTAGGCAGAACAGCCCAGGCATTGGATAGTAAAACGCTGAGTCAGGGCAGGCTGCGCCATCCTCCGCCCCAGCAGAGGTGCTCTGAGTGTGGCCTCATCAATAATGGAACATCCGGCACTGGAGAGCACCAGCCAGCCCCCCTCTCTCTGCACCGGGCTAGGGGAGCGTCAAAAGAACACCTTATCAACACCTTCTGCAGTGCTAGGTTTCCACTGAGTGTATGGCTACAAAGTGCGAAATGTTGTGGGCCCAGAGCATTGGGAACGGGATGTCTTGCTATGCTGTTACTTGTTCTGGATTTTGTTCCTGGGACATGTATAGCCTATTTATTGTCAGCTTGTACTTAGCAATGCAGGAAAAGTTCCAAATTGGCCCAGAATGGAATGGGCATTTGAGATATTTGGAGAACCTTGATAATGCCAGGTATTTTTACAGGTATTCTATTACCCCAATTAATTGGCATTCCAGATGTTCCCAAATCTTACTGCTTATTGTCATGTGCTCACTAGTGTTCTTCAAAACTTCCACTGCAAAATGTTAAAGCAAATAAATGTTGGTTTCCCGCAGGCTTCACTCAAGCTTATTTACTTCACTGGCACTTATGTGTTTGTGTATGCTTTTGTTCTATACTGAGTAAACAGTGATAAAAAATCAGAAAGAACCTCTCTGGCAGGTCTCAACAGTGTTTCTCTGGCAGCTGCATAAGCTGAATACCAAAAAATGAGAAACCATCTATCAAGAAGAAAGAAAGACATGGAAATATATTCAAAGCTGAAATGCACTGATGTCTTTAAAGTGTTTTCAAAACAAGTTTGAGATAGGGGTCAAGTTAGTTTGTTGGTGCACGATTCATAGGATGGTTATGGCCTAACAATAGAATGGTAGAATTGTCCAAGATAGAAATCTACTTACGAAGAAGTTTAGGACAAGGGCTGTTAAAATGTACAGAAATTATTTTTAAAGAAACAAAAAAAACATAACTTTCTACTTCATCAAGCTCACAGAGACATTTCAGTTTTTACAGTAGTCCGTAAAACCTCTGCTGTGCTCACATTTATCCTCCGCTTGCGCATAAAAACAAGCGCTTCTGCAAATGTGTGATAAAACCAATAAGAACAATGAACAAAGCTACTGTATATGAATCCATACTTTCATGTTTTCATTGTCCACATTCAAATTAACAGAGTGTAAAATATGACCTTTTTCACTCTCATCTGGACTTAGATGAAGAAATTGAATTTCCATCTTTGTACCAGAGCCTCTATTAAATATATTGACCTTTGCTAGCAATGAGCTCTTCTAGAGTTCAAAACAAGGCTGACCATCAGTCCACTGAACTGACCTTCTGTCAATATGATATTGCAGACAGATCATCAATCTGTTTCAGATGTGAATCCAATATGGCTTTAATGTTCTTTTAATGTAACATAGAGCTGGCAAGGGAATCTAAGAACACCTTCCCTGCATCCATAAATGCACCCATCCCCCATGGTTTTAGTTAACTAGGATCAATGCCCTGAAAATCCATGCAAAACCATTTAGCATATTCTTTGATCATCACTAATTCTGTCATCCAAAGAACCTTTTTTTTATTGATGGCTTTTTGCTCTTATTACTCATTTAGCATTGTGGGAATAAAGAAAAGAGCCTCCTTCTCTCGTTCCTGTTGCCATGAAAACAGACTTTTTTTTTTCCTTTTGCAATGTTACCTTAGAGGGGAACGCTTATGTCATTTATTGATTCCCAGTGTGGACATAAAATAGAAGTTTTTTTTAGCTTTGAGCTTCCAAAAGCACCATCAATTCATGCATGGTTTAAATTGTTCTCCGGCTTGGGCAGCTCCGAAAGATCGTCTGTAACTACTGGAGGACTTGGATTGATGCTCATCGATGCACAAGAATCATCATTACCTTAGCACAATGCAATATGTCACCAGGCTCTTTTTTCCCTTTCTCCTCCTGCCGCCATCTTTCTCTCTTTCTAATACAGAGGCTCTGGCTGGAGACAGATGGCGTGATGTAGCATATCAGAGCTGCAATCTGCAGCCGCATCAAACATTTACAC